GTTTTAGTAGAAAAATCGAGCATTATAATCTAAGAACGCTTAAATGCTGGATACGTTGACTCCACGCCTTCGAAGCTTAAGCTTGGAACCACTTTGAAATAACTTTTGACTACTTCGTCTMCGTATTGGTACCTGCCGCAAAGAAAGCAAAAGCTGTCCTCGTGGACAGAAAGGAGATAGCAACAGCTACTGTTCCTTCCCCGAATTTAGCCCTGCCGAACTCTTAAAAAAAYTCGGTCGCTCGACGAACAGAAATTTTAGTCCAAAGACATGGTTACAGCCCACATTACTGACCACTTTCCAGTCCTCCAGAAAACGCATTGTTAAAACTATCCTTCTAAATCATTCCTAGATCAATTGTATCGAGCTAACAAAGAACTTGTGAGAAATATGTAAATCGCAATTTGTYCAAACTTTTTTTTATTTTTCTTTCTAGATAAAAGTACTCGGACCGCCCTCGTATAATAGCGTAAGTAAAAAGTGTCCAACCATGGCACATAACGACGAGCGAAGTGTCACTTACATCATTTAATCCGAAGTTTATTATTTAAAAGTGTTGGATTTCCTCTTATTTGATAATATAGTATAATTGTAAACAATTGTAAGGAAGAGTTAGGCGCCTATGGAACCAAAAATTATATGTTCTTACAAGTTAGTGAAGGAATACATTTGTACATCTGGCACTAATCACGGCCGTTAACTCGATATACGAAGCAATAGATCGCTGAAACCCATTAAATCAATCAAGTGAGCCGTGGAGTTTCAATTTACATACAAAAACCGACGAAAACATCAAAAAAGGGTCGATATGTGACACTTAGATGAAACAAATGACTCCATCATTTCACTTCGAAATGTTTCATCCAACCGACGGTCATCCAGGTGCACTAAATGCGATTAACCCGCTCCAAAGTGCGAAAAAACTCAATAGTCGGCTTGAAGGATTATGACGTCTGTATTTTCGGATTCGCTGGCATACTTTTTTTTTGATTAGCTTTCAAAATTGGGGGAACATCAAAAATTAAATAGTGTCATTGTACCGTTTGCGGAACGAAATCGCCGAAAAATGTCCGCATTTAAAGAAAAAGAAAGTGCGGTTTCACCAAGACAATGCACCGTGTCACAAGTAATGGAAAGCGATCGCGGAAATCCATGATTTTTACTTTGGATTGCTTCCACATCCACCGTGYTCTTTAGTTCTGATCCCCAGGGACTATTTYCTGTTCTYATAKCTCAAAATAAAGTTTTTTAGGAAGACATTTGGGCCTTGGGCCTTGGGCCTTTTTTGAAGCAAAGGAGGATTTGTAATTCAAAAATGGTATCGAAAAGTTTGAGGGATATGCTTTACTATCGTAGGTCGGGGACTATTTAATTTACCTGTTATGTTTAGAAGTTCAGAAAGAATATTTTCTTGATAATAATCTCCATTTGTGACGAAAATGCTTAAAACCGTGTCAATACTTCTTGTATCCTCCATATGCCTAATGTAAAGATTTTCGAACTTCCACGTGGCTTTATACCATATCGGTCCGTATGCGTGCTTTTCGTAGTAATAATGATTCATAGTGCTAAAAATTTATAAAATCGGATCAAAATCCTAACTTCCATATACCTAGTATAAGAATTTCCAACCTCCCGGTTTACGTCTAAACTAAGGTAGACCCTGAGGGCTCTCTTTTTTACTTTCCCTCGCCTTACTAATCGTATAGCTACACGATACTGTTGTTTCGTTTTCATTTGCGGTCGTTTTTTACTTGGCGTCCCCAGCGCACAACCCTGAGGAGGATGGTTCGCCTTCTCACTTYAGCTCACTTTCAAACGGATGTTCTTTGGCTACCCAGGGGCTGCTTGGTCTAAGACCGCAAGTCGTGATCTGCTTGAGCCATTTATAAAATAATCATTTCTGGCCACTCCCAAGTGAATGGCACTCAAAAACTTTATTCACTTGCTTGAACACATGACCCCATCCCCTTGGCATTGCTGGCAAGGTCGTGACGCCCGAATGGACGAAAACACTCCAGCTCTGAAAGTATTCGGCGCTGCACCCGCGGGGAAAGCAGCGGAAGAGAAAGATGCTCCACTCCGTTGGAAAGACCATAAGGAGAAGGACCTGAAATTTCCATTTGTTTACTTCAGTAAAGAAGAAGATATTTTAGACAATATTTAAGGTTTATTGAAATAATCATCCCCAATTTGTCAAAAATTTGACTTCAAGTAAAGATAATATTTAACTTAAAGGTTTACTGGGTAAGTACACACACAAACTTACAAGCCGTCTATACGAAAATGTCAACATTTTATCAGCTGTCCAGCAGAGCTTTTACCATATGACCTCTGGAGCTTTTGTTATAGAAACCGAAACCTTAAAAATTAACTCAGAGCTTTGCTACAAACTGCACTTAGGCGTTCAGTCTTTATTGAGTGTCGCGAAAAATCGGTAATCAACCACAAAGAAAAAGCGTGAAAAGTGAGAAATTATTATAGAAATTTGTTAAATGTTAACTGTTTATTGCAAAAGTGACGCATGTCACACCAAACAGCTTTTGCAATGTTATTTCACCCGTGTATGTGACCGTTAGAGGGGGTGGCAGTGAAGTGTATCAAAACGTGCACATTGCAGTTATGATACTTGAGTGTATTTAAGAAAGTAACAACAAAACAAAAACAATTACATAAATAACAAATATAATATTTTAAGGTGACCGACGTAAAGTTTGAAAAAGATAGTGAGACAATCACGCGAATGCCGAGAAATCGAAGAAATTGAGTTATATTAAGATTATTTGTGAAATCTGAGGTGGCGATTGGGGAAGCGTTCAAAAACTTAAAAATACTTAGCTCGACAGATCTGGTATTAGATACCAAATCTAATCGAAATACCTAAAATCTCCGGTCCCAGTTCAGTGAGACGGCTTGAGGATTTTGTCCCGAAACTCAAGTCAAGTGCCTAATGTTCTCGAACTCATGTTAAGTGTCTAATGTTATTTTACATTTTCTGCCAACGGMCTCACCTATTCACACAGATTTTCGTAACCCTTTGGAATTTAAGGTACATTAGRTACCCAATATTGCGTTTTCCTCCGGAGAAGATTGCGGAAAGTAGCGAGGTATAAGCATATATACTAATGGATCCAATCTAGATAATCAAGTAGAAGGTGGTGCCTTTTTAGCAAAATAAGAAACCAAAATCGTCTTCCATTGTGGGACCGGAACCTTTCATTGAAGTTGTCCCTCACACCATAAAGGAGCTTCTCTGTAATGATGAAGCAGTGGGTAGGAAGATGCATTGGCAACAACTCCCAGGCATGCGCCATGCAAAGTTGCTAATGGGTTGTTAMAACYTCAAAWSAYTTAAATATGTAATCTATCTMMCAAGGGAAAAACTCAKGCTAATTGTCGCCTTCTACACTGACGTTGCAAGCTCGAGAGCACTTATTTAACATAGGCCTAGCTTCTTGTGCAAATTGCCGGTWCTGCGACTTGGAGTCCGAAACACCAGAGCACATAYTAATGAACTGCACAGCAGTCAGTAAGTGCAGAATTAAGGCCCTTCGATCCATGTTTCCAAATACGGATCACATCGCCACAATAGTACTTAGCAGTATATTGGAGCTTATCAATTGGCGGGGGTAGTTGAGCCGTTGTGAGTTAGGAGAGGGCACAATACACCCCAGGTCGYKGTGCRATCCTCACTTACTTATCTAGCTAATCAGGATTTCGTCAAAGTTAGTGAAARAATCACTTGATCTGTTAGTGGACCTAACATGTATCCCAAAGATAATGAAAGAATGCCTTAATATCGAGTGGATCTAACATCCTATTCCATGATAAACCTACAATAGGTTCCAGGAAATAACGATATTCCTGGTAACTGTGAARCAGAASAACCAGCCAGAGCAGGGACRATCCTACAATTAGAACCAAGAAAAGAGGGAACTCAGGCTACTTGTAGATATTTAATCGCCAAATCGTTATAAATTATGCTGAGTAGCCCGGTAGGCCAATCCCTAACCTAAAAATGTACTCATAACTTTAGGGAAATCAATCATCATAAAGACGACGACATCTTAAAGAGTAGACCGGGCATCTGTTCCGGCTCGTGAAAGGCGGAGTGAATGGCGCTAATACGTTGCTGTTTCGAACCAGTTGAATTACCAGAATTTTTCGATACTTTTGTGCAGAAATGTACGGATCCGACATGTAAGTGAAATACCCAATAATTATTTTTACTTATCAGAAATATTATATATTTTCTATAACTTATAAGCAAAAGGGTTCTTCACCAAAAGAAGTAGTGTTGGTTAAGTTTACCAGTTTTTAACTTAACTAACAGATGGCTGTTAACCAAACAAAACGGCCTTTAGTGTGACATATCGTCTTCTCAAAATATCGGAAGAATATTTCTTAAAGTCRTTCATCACAAGCACAAATATCTTCAAGATAAGCTTTGAGGCATAGCAAGAAAAATGCTATCTCAACACTTTTTGCTGTCAAAAAAATTACTTTCCCACGTGAATATCTGAAAAGTAAAAAAGAAAACTACTTTCAACTTTTCAACTGTCAATTGCGAAAAGTAAATAGGCTTGCGATCTCCCGAACTAACTAATTTCAATGCAATTTCCAAAAATCTGGTTAGAATCAGCACCGATATCATTTTTAAATAATGCACAAAAATCTCAACTAGCGTTAAAGGACTTGCAACCTATAACCTTGCAAGTAATTTCTGGACAGTAAAAGTAGTTGCAAGCTAAATTGCTTTAAAATTTTAACTGCTCTGAAATATTCTTTAAACAAATTTTTTATATTAATAATATGGTAATAAAATAAAATTACTTTTCCAAAAACTTGCCAGGATATTAAAATTTTATTTTCTCATTCTTTTCGTGATATTTGATGCACTCCTTGATTTTYATGGAATTAAAATGCCAAATATAGCCTGTTCGTATTTAAAAGCATGCCGGCAACTCTTAATTGTGGATAGTWATTCGTCACTCATTCTGCCAGCTGATTCGACTTGATTTATCGAATAAACATTTTAATATGTTGAAATTGTAAATTTGTGAAGTTAGCTTAGTCAACCATACTTATAAATAGTAATTTTTCGTGTTTTTAGTAAAACATATATATATATATTCAACCAATATATTCCAACGGTGAAAACAGAATGCCTGGTAAGCAATCATATCATACATTTTTGGCCTACMAATAGTAGGAGTAAAAAGATACACATTCCAACAAGTTTACAAAAACTGTTTTTGATGTAATCGGAAAAACCTACCGACTTTACATACGTCCATTCCCGTGGCAATCGGGTCTACGTAACCAGAACGCACCCGTACTTGTAAGCTGTTTACCCTGTATGATCCTTCCAAATTACTTCAGAAAAGTTTTCGGCCCATACAACAACAACAACTAACCATWCGTGTTGCTAATGTTATTGCACTTACATACATACRTACATATGTATGTATATTTACGAATTTGTTCTCTACATTTCTCTGATTTATATTAAAAATAACAATCATTTAATAACTCGCCATATGTATGCACTTACATACGTATAACAACAATTAAAATAGTTTGCTGCAATGTTTACCTAAATTTGTTGTCTTGTAATAAATAATTTTGAAAAAAAAAATTATTTACTTTAATGTTCCATCACGGTATTTACTATTTTTCTTCAGGTTGTTGYGGTTGTTGCTCAGCGCTACGCCCGCGCTACAAACGATTGGTGGATAATATATTCCCCGTAAACCCTGAGGATGGTCTTGTCAAATCGAACATGGAAAAACTAACATTCTATTCYTTAAGTTCACCAGATAAGCTAGATCGTATTGGTGAATATTTGTATCAAAAAGCTAGTAAGGATATTAATCGCAAACGTTACAAGTGAGTATATTCTTTTTTTAAGAGTTGCATTTTATTTGTTGGTATTAATATTTTTATACAAATAGGTTTGTAGAAATTGCCATGGAGGCAATGGACTTACTACTGCAGGCTTGTCATGCGCAGACCACATTAAATTTATTCGTTGAGTCCTTTTTGCGTATGGTACAAAARTTATTGGAAGACACTAACCCCAATCTGCAAATTATGGCTACCAATTCGGTAAGATAAGCAGCAAAAACTACTTTAGTTTAGGTTATTATATACGAGTGTAGTTTTATTAACAACAGTTGTGAGTCAAACTGTTGCAATTAATATTTACATTTTATATGTGTGACGTTTAGCTTCGAAAAGATATGATTTATTTTACCTGCAYAAAGGAAATAATCAAAACAAACAGAAACATATGTTTTGTTCGGTCAAAATATGGCAGCATTCAGTTCATTCATCAGGAGTTTTGCACAATAATATAAATATAAATTTTGTAATTATGTAAAAASTTTTGTTTTTATAAAAAACCAACATTATCGAAATTATAATACTTTTCACAAATAAATATGTTTCCATACAAGAACTTGATTKGGATCAGTGGTTCGTTATGAAAATTTTTTTTTCGAATCTACAATCTTCGTTGCCTTGGGCAATATTCAAAATTGCGTGAAGRTATCGTGTAAAATATGTATCGAGAACTGAATTTCTAAGCTAAATTTCGTGAAAATATCYTGCAAAATATGTGTTTTTGATTTAGAGTTATTTGAGTACAATACTCTTTACATTAAAGAATAGGAAGGAGTGGTAAAAAGCCAGTTAATGTTTTCGTATATACAAATTATMTTCGAAAACTTTCAAAAGTAGATAAAAATTTTGTAATTATGGAAATTATTTATTTTACAGTTCGTAAAGTTTGCAAATATAAATGAAGACACACCYTCGTACCATCGGCGTTATGACTTCTTTATATCAAAATTTTCTGCTATGTGTCACGGCAACCACGATAATGTCGAATTGCGCGACAGTATACGCCTAGCTGGTATTAAAGGTTTGCAGGGTGTGATACGTAAGACTGTTTCCGATGATTTGGTTGAGAACATATGGGACAAAGTGCATATGGAAAAAATAGTACCCTCATTGCTATTCAACATGCAGGTGAATTTATTACTAATGRTTATTTAAGGAAGCATACTTTTTCGATTATGTTTTTAATATGTTTTAATGAAAATGTTGTTTTCTTAATATCGAAAATTTCATGCCGCTGAAAAAGTTTTGCGTGAACGTTTTGTTTGTGAAGAAAAATTTAATTGCGGTAAAATTTATTTTGTTATTATGAATCATGTGACTTATATTTTAAGATTTAGTTTCATTATTGTATAAATAACAACAACCATATACGTTACCAATTAGTAATTATAGTATATTCCTATAGTCCGGCGACTTAACTCCCGTTGAAGACGCAACACACGTGACACCACCAGTGCTGGCCGAAGAAGTATTGCGCGAACTTGTTGGACGTGCATCTTTCGGTCATATACGYAGCGTCTTGAAGCCACTGCTCACGTGAGTTAACAAAATAAAATTTATAATTTAATTGCAAACAAAATACTCGTATCTCCCAATAGCCATTTGGACCGTCATGAATTATGGGTGCCGAACACGTTCGCTATACACACCTTTCGCATTGTTATGATCTCCATACAACCGCAATATTCGTACACAGTTGTAGAGACTTTAATGCAACATTTGGATAACAATTTCAAGTCATCGCCGAAGACACGCACATCTTTAGCTGTCGTACTTTCCAAAATAATAGCAATCGCAGCTGGCGAAAGTGTCGGTCCTTCCGCATTGGATATTATCAATAATTTGCTTACACACTTACGTACTAGCGTCAGCACAACAACAGAAATTACGAACGAGGAATCACAATATCAAGAGGCACTCATTAATGCGTTGGGCGAATTTGCTAATCATCATCCCGATTATCAGAAAATCGAAATAATGCTATTCATTATGAATACGGTGCCCGATCTATCGAAGAAAAGCAAAGGCGAYCAAATGCTGCAGAATATACTGTTRAAATCCCTACTGAAAGTTGGTACACAATACAGCACAGTTTCATTCGAAAAGGCCTTCCCGGCATCCTTCTTACAACCCTTACTGAAGATGGCACGTGCACCWCATGATCCTACGCGTGTCATCGTTATGCAGATCTTCCAGGCGCTACTCGATCGCCATCAAAACGAAAAAGTGCTCAGTTATGTGACTATAAAGCCTTACCCAGCTTTATCGCAGGAACCACCSTCGCGCTCTGACATAATATTCACACATAAGTATGGCGCAAATATAATGCAGGCGCTCATCGATAGTATGGCTCTTTCGGATCGCATTGAATCGCTTGCATCCAGCTACAATACGGCAGCTTTGCTTATTGTCGAAATGGCTTGTGGCGAGACTGTGCAAGAATTCTTGCTGTTCATTTTGGGGTAAGTACTTATTTGGATGGGTATTGAGACGGCAAAGACTTGCTTGTATAGCAAAGGATAACTTKGATACAAATTTTGATAGTAGAGTTGTTCAAATCACACTTACCACCCGTGTGAGTAAGATTTGGACTACTGTCAAGGTTTTTTGTAATCCGAAGAGACATGATGACCGCGTTGAAATTCAACTCTTCAGACYCGAAGAAGTGCGCGAGCTGTGTTAAGCGSSAATTTACACTGCWCCCTTCGGTAGACAAAACCAAATRATGTGYTACCGCACTATAACCCATGACAGTCGGGGCTACGAAAACCGGAACGGACCTGGATTTTTATCCGGCCAAGGACTGTCAACTCGGCAGAATTTCTGCCGAT